GGAGGGCGGGGAGGGGATTTGTTGGAACCCGGAAGTGGGAGTCGTAAACCCGGAAGTGGGAGGCGGAAACCGGAAGTGAGGGGGAGAGGAGCGGGGGAGTTCGGGTTGCTCGCGGTGTCACTGCCCTAGCAGCGGCCAGCCCCGACTGCCTGAACTGGAAGAGTAAAAGGAAAAGGAGGAAGAAGAAGAAAAAAATCCACGAACGCCACAGTTTTGCCATGTTGACTAGGGTTTTTTTTTTGCCTGCTTTTCCTGCTGCCTCGTGTTTGTTTGCCCTGCCCTGGCTTGGCTGCCAATCAAGAGCAAACGGCCACAAAGCTCTCCCGCTCCCGGGCGGCACAAAGAGTAGGCGTAAGAATAAACTCTCACGCACCTTCTCTAGCCCTACAGCTCTTGTAATGGCAGGACAGGAAGGTAAGTAAATACGCGGCTGGCAGGGGACAAGGCTTCTTCACGGAGAATCACACAGAACTTCCGCCAATGAAGCAGCGCAGGGTTTCGGATCTCCCGCTGGTTGTTCTCCTCCCCTCCCCGAGACTCAGAAGACCGTGACAAATCTGAACGTTTTATCCCAAATGACACACGTTACAAGCTCAGTTTACTCCTGGTTTTAGGACATTCACGGGGCTGCTGTTGGACTGCTAATTTTTAGAAGACCCTACCAGACCCCATCGGTCACTTGGGCGGCGGCGGCCGCAAGCGCTGGGAGCACCTGGTGCGACCCCGGGACAACACCTAGACCCCAGCCTAACTCATCTGGCCTGGTGTTCTTGTACTGCTTTTCAGTATTTTCACATTACCTGAATTAGGAGCACACTGCTGTAATTTACTCAAGCAAATTACGTTGCATGCATGTGATTTGACTCAAAATTCGTAATACACCCTTCCTTTATTGAGCCGGTACAGCATCATGGGAAAAACAACAGCTTTGGGCTCTCTGTATAAACAACATCATAGCAGCACAACAGTTGGATTTGGTTCCAGGCCCTGGGAATCCTCAGCTAACAGTCACCTTAAAAGCTCCTTAAGAATTACTCAACAATGACATTTCTCACTCAATTTTATGCTGGTTATGACTGAGTACATTTCAAACTTAGGAGACTAATATGTACTGAGGGGGCACCATTTCCGCAGAAAAGAATCAATTTGAAGCTACAGGATGTAAAGAGGAGCAAACGATGCCTGTCTCTATTTCACACAGGAGTAGAGAGCAGCTGGGACTATTTACACTGGCTCCTTTCATTCAGTACTAAGCTTTTTGTTTTTACATGGTAATTATTTTAGAATGCATTTGAAAAAGCAGGAATAAACGCATTTGACACTTCTAGTTTAGAACAAGCTTTACAGTTGATAATATTGAACAACAGAGTTGGTAGTCATGGCTTCTCTGTTTCCACTGGGAAGCTACAAGAGAATCAAGTGACTCATTTAGGTGGTTAAGTTTGCCCTATTTCTTCTGCTCCCCCCCCCCAATAAGCAAGCAAACCAACCCACAAAAATAATAATAAAAAAACAACGCAATGCGCTCTTTAAGATGTTTTTACATTTAGACTAGTCAAAGGCGAAATAATCCTAAAGATTCCCCTCTCTTCCAAGTGCAAACCTTTTCATAAAAAAAAGAAAGTTAGAAACTGGCATCTACTTTTCTTCTTTCTAAACCATTTACAACTACGATCCTTCTAATCTTCCTCATAGACGCTCTAACCAATTGTCACATTGCTTAACTCAATAGGTGAGAAAGCAGAAGAGAAATGAAGATTTCTTGTATTTGCATATTTTTGCCCTGTGATAGAAGACTTCTAAACAGAGGAAGATGAGGATTCCCATGCAAGTATGACATGGCGTAGAAAGCCAGGACTGTACAAGAAAACACACTCTGAGACAGATATACTAGCAACCTTCTTGTTTTGGCTTGATTTGAAATTTCACTCATATTGCAGGAAGTCTGATTTTTAGGTACACCTCTATATTAACACCAGTAACTTCTCTGGAATTCAGTTGCCCTGAATTGTAACAGCACTACTTTTTCTATATCCAGAATACTTCCACACTAGACACAGCCCATTTCACAACACTACCTTGCCCATTTGCAGTCACCCATATTGTATTAGTACTGGATTGCATTATTACTTGCATTATTCCTCTGCTGTAGACCCTAGCACAAGGGTTTACCAGTGTGTGTGTCGGAGGGGAGTGAACGGGGTCAGATGAAGACTGGAGACAATGCTCAGTGGCAAGAGAGATACTAGGTCAGCTCAGTCTCAAACATTTTGTCTCAGGAATCCAGCTGACACCTTTGCACCAAAACCAACCCTCTAACAAGGCCTTGAAATACAGCTTTCTTTGCCCCAAAGCCTATTACGGTAGCAATCTCTTAACCTGGTAAGAAAATTCTGTATATGAAACAGACAGTTTGAAGTAGCAGAGAAGATGGACAGTTATTTGGGACTAACAAAGAATGACCATCTGGTCCGACGGCATGCTTGGTTTGCTTAAGTTTTCTGCTCAAAAACAAACTGAGCCAAGTTTCTCGTAAGGCTGAATATTTAAAATAAGCCAGAAATATTAGCCATTCTGCATAGTATTTATTTAGAAGCAAAAACATTGCATTTGATCACATACAAGTTTTGATCCAGCAAACTCAGATTTATATAATTTTTATTACTTTTTTTTAAAAAAAATACATTTTAACAAGTAAATAAAAACCATTTCCATTAGTCCACTGTTCTTCAAAGCGTAAATATACAGTGTAAATTTTCCATTTTCAATATAGACATATGCTATATTTTGCCAGTCATCTATAATAAATTCAACTACAGAATCTGATGAAACATAATAAATAATAAAGAAATTGAAAAACTACATACCAATAAATGGAAAATACAAACTTTTTAAAAGTCATACAAACAGTTATATTACAGCCACCTCTTCAAAATCAAACATTCAATTAGCCATTATAAAGTACAACAGTACTGTATTATCCTTATTGGCATAATGTTAGGATAGCATCTTAAAATTGAAATAGTCTCCACTGAAAGAAATTGAATGAAATACAACTAAAAGGAACGCAGTCTAATTAAATCAGGACAGTAACAGTGCAAAAGCCCAAAGTATTGCCTTTATATATCCAAAAAAAAACCAAACCCAAAACCAAAAAAAAAGACAGTTCCCAGCAATGAACATGTTGAAGGTTGTTTCATGATTAAAAAAAAAAATCTTTAAAAAACAAGAGCCATTTTTCATGTTTCTTGATCACTGTTTGCATAACAAATACCATCACAGATAAAAGGTGGATATGCTGTCTTTGCCACCCCTCCTCTCATTCTTTCTGACTTCAAAGGAAAAATATGCAATTGGCTGAGAATACTGTCACCATTTTAACGTTTTGCCTCAGTACCATTTCTTTCAAAACGTTTTTGCATGAGCATTACAGCACAGAACTAGTGGCTTAACGATCACAGCGAAACTGATTGGAAAAAAATGGACTCATCTATTTTGTCTATAATAAAAGATGTCTAAACTTTAAGACAGCATAAACATGTTGTATTTGAACATTTTCAGCTTTAGCTCACCCCTTAGTCATTAACACCACCGATAAGGTAACATGCCTCCTTTTCAAAGTATTTCTATCTTAAGTAATTAATCCAGAATTCGGTAATCTCAGACATTCATACGCAGCATGGTGCATTCCTGATGGGAAGGTTAGTTTCTGAGATCAACCTCAGCACCATCAACCTCAAGCACACATCTCATATCAGCCTGAAAGACCCCAGACTATGTTTAATACTGCAACAATTTGCTTTTGGAAAACTTACAACAAATCCCTCCTAAGCATTTGTATACCTAGCAGAACCTCTATGTCAACTCTGTTCAGCAATGGGCGTTCCTGACAAAAGGGCTTCAGGTCTCAAGAAGGGGTGTTTCAGGGCAGAGCAGAGGTGCCCCAGGAATCCTACCTAGCTTTGGATGTGTCACCCCGACATGTTCTCTCTGATGGGCTACCAGGATGATTTGCATTCCACCATCTGCCACTGCCTTGGAAGAAAGTGGGGAACAGCCCAATAAGGTAGCATGTGGAAACAGACCATTGAGCCCGTGTACAGGTATGTACTTGGACTTGTGAACGAGAATTGCTGTGTTCAAATGGGAATTACAGGGTAGAACTGGACATCCCTCTGACTGCACTTACACAGAGGCAGGTACTTAGACCTAGAAAACAACAACCAAGCAGCAAGGGCAGGACGCAGACAGGCACGTGGTTCCCAACACTGACGAGGCTGAAATATCCTAGGCGCGTTCCATGAATTTATTTATGCTGCAAAACTATGTACAGATAACGTTCTTAAGTGACAATAACCATCTGTGACTTCTAAAAACTGCAAAGGAAGTCAGAGATGATCAATTCTCGGGATACAGCCCTTAAAAGACCTTTTCTTTTTTTTGGTGGTACAACGCAATATTACCAACATGGCCAAAATTTTCATCTACTAGTTATATTTCTATCCTGTTAATGCAACATACATCAACATTGCTGATAGCAAGGAAACAATACTGTAGTTTACAATAACACTACTGAGGTTTGTTCTGAGAAGGAGATCAA